GTAAGGACAATATGTATAATGCTTACCGTTTATTAAAGACAATTATCCTGAAATGCAAAGAATTTAAGTTCCTGGATGGGCGGACAGAAGCGGTTTCTCTTCTCGCAAGTGAAGTAGATTTTTTTTAAGGCGGTATTTTCAAAGGCACAAAAGGGGGACGTCACAACAATGTGATTGGTCACTTGCAACGTTGAACCTGGAACAACATTTATTATGATGATGTGGGAACAACACCGACACGAGGATATCAGATCATCCATTAATAAGCACAGCTCAGAGTACCTGGGAGACTAAATAATGCCCCCGAAAACCCAGACAGATGCAATTATTTTGGGATTAGCAGTTCTTTAAAACCAAGGAAATTACTTTTCAGGGTGAAACCTACATGATGTCATTTCCTTTTACATCAAGACTCACACCACTCGTCACGATCTTTACTACGAGATCGTTCGTCAGAAGCCGAACGTGGCCATCTTTAGTGTGCCAGACAAGCTGCAAGTGCTCAGCAGTGTTGATCTGAAGGGGAATGTACAGTCTATTGACCCCAATTCTGCGGGTCTTTGGTTTCTAATTTTACGGCCGGATTTCTCTCAGCTCTGACTGTAATGGATGGGACGACCGTGAGGGAGCAGGGACACCTGGCTGCTGAGCCCTAGTCAGCACCAGTGTCCTGACAGGTCTGATGAATGCAGGCTGATGAGTACACAGTCTTGTCTCTACTACAGCCGGAAGCCTCGCTCCACGGGGCTAAAGCAGGAGGAGTGCATCTCCCTACTATTAGCGATTCGGTGCATCACTCTTATTTTACACATTTAATAACCTCTCAACAAGGTCGTACAGGCAAAGCTAATCTAAAAAAAAAACAAAACAATGCATTAACTAGTCTTTACATGCAAACACAAAAAGATGATGCCTATTACTTCAGTATTATGGCTCCATGATGGATTGGGGACAATGAAAAGGTGGAAAGACAGTAATATAAAGAAAGATTGATTAGATTTTTTTAAATATGCCACAGCAGAAATAAACACAGGAAGACACACTGACTGCAAGCTCTTCGTTAGTAACACAGAAATTAGAAACTAGTGTGCTGCTGCTATCACTGTAGGTGAGACGTCAACATCAAACGGGTTCCTTCTGACAGCGACAGCTCCGAGATAAATCAGCCTACAGTTCGGGAATACCTCTAAACCGCTTCCTGCTGCTCTGCAGTGACCTACTTAGCATGATTTGATTTATCAGAAATGTTGCAGGAATTTCCACAGCTTGAGCAATCAAACAGGATGGAGGTACCTGCTGATGTCTCTCTTAACTAAGGTCTTGACTTATTCTTTTTTTTTTTTTTTTTTTAGTGTGTCAGTTTGTCTCTGCTGCACTGGTGCTTTCAATGCAACAGCTAATTCTGGAGTATTGTGACTAATGCTCTGAACCTAAAATACTGCCAGTCAGGAAGAGGTTTTTAGCAAAACACCAAAAATGCAATTGCCTCACTCCCAAGTCTTCCTCATTTTTCAGAGGAACTTTAGATTGGCGCAATCAAACAATGCACCTCCAACAGGAAATGTTATGTAATGTGGACAAAACTGATCTTGGCAAAACAAGGAAGCGATGCTTCCCCATACTGACTGATATTGAAAGGAATGCGGTGCAGGGAGTGTCGGCGTTTGGGAGTGTTTGTATACAAGTGCATGGTATTTTTTTTTGATCCTACAGTACACAGTGTATTTGCAAACAAGCTTAACTACCCACCATTTCATAGCTGACTGTTATCTACTTATATCTGATGGATGAAGAATGACAACAATCCACAGAGCGGCTTGCTCTTTTAGAGGAATCATTCGACATTTTAGAGAATTTCCTCATTTTCGTATTCTTAGCGAGAGTTAGTGGAGATTTATGTCACTTTGGCGTTTGCACAATAAATATGAGTAAGCGGCGTGCTAGCTAGCTTTCACAAAAAAACAGGAAAAAGGGGGAACCAACTATTCCGCCTCCGTCCAAAGTTAATCTACCAAAGCTCCCAAATTATCGCTACGCAAAAACATTGCATAACAGCAACAGACTGAGAGCTAAGCTAATAGCTTGGAAGCAAAACGTTTACATTTCCTAAACCAGGAGCGTGCAACATAAGGTCTGAGGCCAGAATTGGTCCAGCAAACACTCCAGTCTCACCCACTGTATAAGGGAGGATATAGATTTTCTTACATTTAACTGTATGTTCATAGGTTTTAAAGCTGTTCTAATGGAAAAGACCCCTCACCCCTACACCAAAATAATTAAGTGATAGACAGCTAAATGATAGAAAGGTTCCTTTTTTTCCACCATCATCTACTAAATTCAGAAAAGTTGCATTCAGCATTATGAAACTAGCAGGAGCATCAGGCAGGAGTTAGGGCCAGCTTTTGGTGCAGCACTGGTGTCTAAATAGCTTTCCACCAATGCAGAGGGAAGGATTCTGAGTATTTAACCATAGCAGAGGCAGAGTCGCTTTTGTGTGCAGTCCTTCTACAAGCCAACAACATCATCACCTCTGGGCATAGAGACAATCTTAGGTCAAAGACGGACATTTTTAAAGGTTGGTGTGAAACGGAAAGGTAAAAACCACAGCAGAGTTCACCACAAAGAAGGAGAAACTGCACTGGGTGTGACTTCCAGAGAACCACTGTTATTAATGATAACCACAACCGCCAAATGAACCTCATGCAGCGCTCCACTGCTATTTACTGCAAATGTGCAAGCTACTTGCAGCAAAAACAGTGATGAGACACAAACACACAGTGTCATGAACTATTATGCAGCACTGTGTGCAATCTGTGTAATGCATCTTATGCAACAACCAGCATATGCACTGCATGCATCAACAACAAAGGTGACTTGCATGCTTTTACCTGCCTCTGTTTTACACATTTTCTTTGTGCCATTACAGGATTTAATGATTGCTTAACTCAATAACAGAACATTTCACAGAAGCAAGTATCTTGGATTATGTCAGGTGGTGAAGAAGTTTGTCAAGCGAACCAACATTTCCGCTCGCATAATGTTGCTAGAGATAAACAAGATCTGGTTAGGTAGCCAGCTGTGACTTTTGTACACTGCATGAATTTGAAAGTGGTTGCATAGTTCTATTACCATCTATAAGATGAATATATTTACTACATAAGTAAATAAGTGACCTCTTTTTTTCACAAAGAGGGGGAAAAAAAAACAACACTTTTACCTGGACAAAGGATTGTAGTACATGTTATGGCAGTGCTTCTCAAAACCATTACTGGATGACCAGGGGAAAAAAAATATAAATAAAGTTAAGGCCTCAATCACACAGCCCTGGAGACTGACCCCTTAGCAACTACAGGTTATTAAGAGGGGGGGGAGTGCATTCCCTGTCCAGCTGGTGAAGTAAAAAGCTGCACTGTTGCTAGCAGATTACCCATGTCTGCTGTAGTTTGCATGACACGTATCAACTTGCAGGGTTTTGCTACCGCTTGTCGGGTAGTTTAGTGGTGTAAGCAGCCCAGTTGGCGTCTGGTATGCAAAGCTACCATGGTGACCAAGGCAATGTGCTAGCAACCAAAGCAACCTCAGGGAGGGTTTTGGTGCAGGAAAGTAAACCACTTTGCAAGTAATTTCACTCCAAAGACAGCAGCAATCAGTCACAATCAGTCTGATTGTGACACCCCCCGCCCTGCCCGCAGTGATCAGCGGTTGCCAGATGGTTGACAACTGGTCTCATACAGATAGATCAACATCTCCAGCAGCTGGACTGAGAGTGATGAGTTGGAAAAATTACAAACTTAACACAAGTAGTGAGGATTTTGTCACCGTAGCAAGCCTTCTTGGCAAAAATCCTATACTGTTGGATAGCCAGTTTATTTCCCTAGCTCCTTAGCAAGGCAGAGCCATTCGTGCATCACTAGCAGTAAAGCATAATGCTTTTTTTTTTTTAACTCCTTAAAAACATCACTGCAGCACATTCAAGGACAGAGCCTGGTCAGCACTCTCTGTGGGGCTTTTTCAGTAAGTAACAAACACACAACACTAGCAGTCGAGATTACAAGTTCTACAGTTTTAATCATGTTTATGTTAACTGCCGCCATCAGCTGCTCCAACTTTCCAAGTCTGAAGTCTGACGGGGTTCAGCTGAAAATTCCGACTTTCAATTTGGAATTGAACCTACCATTGGGGTTAGGGTTAAAGTCAATCAATAATGATGACTTAGACTGCTTAGTAAAATAAATACAATGAGAGAGGAGAACATGGCCCAAAAAAGCAAAAATAGGTAAATAAATAAACTTGATATTTAAGCAGAAAAAACAGGAGAAGCTCAGTAAATAAGCTCTAAATAAAATAATACCAAATTAAAAGCTCAGTATTGTACAGTAAGCGGTTCACTAAGTAAAAACCTTAATAAAATAAACACAGATCTCTTTATTAAAATCTGTACTGCTGCATATAAACTGACATTTTGTGTACACGGGTCCTTATCAGACCTCATAATTAATGAAAAAAAGTTCTCATGAACAAAGAAAGGTTTGCTTGGGCTTTCATTTCAGATTTGTCTTTGAATGCCGGCAAACCCATGGAGAGACCCAGCTGGGTTATTCTTCCTGCTTCCAAGCATGTTTTTTTATGAAGTTAAATTATTTGATTATTCTTTTGCTTCCATCCTCGTCCCCCATCTAGCCTCTGGCTGAGCTAATTAATTTCTCAGCGCTCCACAGCTACTTCAATCACTCACGCCTCGTGTCCAATATATACATCCTCAGTTACTGTGCATGCTGTTTACGTCCCATACGGGTCGGCCACCCTCCCACTCTGCTGATGTTGATCACAATGCACAGACATGAATAAAAGACTTTTTAAAATCTGTGTATGTTCGGATTTATGAGTGTGTGGGTTGAGACAGGGTTGAGTAATAATATCACTTATTGATGTAGCTTGCTCTGACTGCCCTGGAGGGCTTTTGTTTGTGTCAGTATGTGTGTGTGTGTGATGTCTCCTACCTCGTTGCCGTACATCATGAGGTGGTGGGTGGTGATAAGAGCTTTGAAGACCACCACCCAGCTGGAGTTGGCTGTGCGCTCAAACAGCGTGTCCGCCAGCTGGGGAATGTTCACGTTCATCTCATTGGTGCAGTGGATCAGATCTGGCCAGGACACAAAAAAAAAAACAAAAACCAACAACAAAATGAGAGAAGAAGAGAAGCTTACACAAGACAACAGAACAAAGAGCAGTGATGAGAAGCTTTTAAAGATAACCCTGACCGACACAATGCCAAATTACTTTTCACACAGAGAAAAAAAAAAAAATGCAGACACACAGCAAGGACCAACAAACAGAGCACGAATTTCATCTGAATTCTTAAGTGAAAGAAGCCTGAAGGACAGGTGCTACCCACAGAACTATTTCTTGTCTTCTTTTGACTCTTACTCTGCTGCACCTTTACCCTCTTCTCTGCTCTCGACATCTTAGCAGAAGCTCACGTGTCATTCATTCACCCAACCTGGAGGAAAACTGAACCTTCGACTGTATGACTGTCAAAATATAATAAAAAAAAACCAAACTGGCAGATCTCAGAAATAATCTCAAAACAGGTCTTTTACAGTATATAGTGTTACATCACTGCTTTAACTTTCCACCAAAGTCTGGCATTAGATTTTTATAATGAGGCAATTTTTTGTTAGAGTTTAATGTTAATTAAATGTTAACTTTCAGCAAATACTCCAGTAATGTGAACATTATTCATGGAGGTGTGGGATTATCTTTGCAGGTTAAGTCTGTGCAATACTGGCATCATCAGGGTTCAACATAACAAACATATGTTGGGCAAGTTGACCAACCAGCTGCTGTTTTTTTTTAAGAAAAAAAATATGTAAACAGTATTTCCACAGATCTGTTCACCTTTCACGGGTACTGGGTGAAATGAACCATCAGGAATTAATGTATTTTTCTTACACCACAGGGTAGTAGTACGGGTAGTAATATACTACAGTATTTTCACATTAAAATAAAACAGCATGTTCAGAAAGTTTAAGTGTCAAGAAAAGTGATCTTTTTAGCTGTTTTCATCCACCACACAGACACAGACAGCACAAGGAAATGAAGAAGCAGCTAAAATCAAAGCTGTCTGTGTACAGGTAAACTTCTTAGGTCTCTCAATTTGGCATTTCTCATAACCTTTGCTGCAAGCTGCTGGCAGGCATGATGTCTCTTTCTAGCAGCAAGACATGCGGCGGGTGAGGGGCACAGCATTCACTCCTCCTTTCTTTCTGAAAACCCTCCTAAGAAAATGATGGTATGTTTTAGAGATTAAGTTAGTTTATTATATAAAGTAATTCAAAAGGGTTTTTTGGGCCAGTGAAAGTCTGATCTACTGGCCCAGTGAGGAAAAAAGAAATTCTATGTTGAACAGCTAAGAGGCAGGAGACTATAAGACTGCCTTAAAGGACCCAGGAAAAAACAGGTGTGTTGGCAGGTATGACTAAATTAGCAAAATCCAAACTGTACAGGGATGATTACGGATGGTTGTGATTTGTGAATATTTAAATAGCTGTTAAATTAATAACTCAAGTTTCAACGATTGTTACATAAATTTGTACTTGATTTTTGGAAGATGATAATAATAATAATACGTCTATTAAAACTACAAAAACAGAAGAAAAGCTTTCTATGTAACAGGTGTCTGACCTGGGAAGCATGTGTGGCATGAGGAAACTAGATGCTTTTATACAAACAGGAGAAACATCCACACAGATTTAAAAAGCCCTTCAAAAAATAAAATCAAACGAGTCCCAGAGCAAGCTCTGCCAGAGAAAGCTACCACATCAAATGTAGTTTATGTTAATTTATGCCGTTTTAATTTACATTGTTGCCATCTGGAAGTGATTTCTTGTTGTGCACCTCTTAATTTTTGTGACCTGGCATGCTGAGCGTGCACGGACGGGTTGAAGACATGAGTGTATGATTATGTTTGTCTTTACCAGCATTCCAATGATACCTCAGTACAGGTGCTCAGAGTGCCGTTTCTTAAATTTGTAAATTCTGTAACATATTATTTAATTAGTTCAGTCTATTACTGTTACTGTCTTGGAGCAACTGTAACCCACATAATTTTCCTTAGGGATTAATAAAGTATTCTGATTAAAAGAGGCAACAGCCTACGCAACCACTAATGTGTTAAACATAAACTAGTTTATAATTTTTACACACACACACACACACACACACACACACACACAAAGAGTTACTCCAGGAAGAGAAGAGCACCAACTTTTTCTTGTTTAGCTGCTTCAAACACTTAAAATATGCACATTTTTTTACCACTTTAGAGAAAACAGGAAACTGACAGACGCCCTAGATTTATTTATTTTTAAACAAAGAATAAATAAAAGGTGCTTATTGAGCTAGGGATGTTTCCCCCATTGCATAAAATTCGCTTTAGCTTTTACTTCATCCCAAGAGATGCCTAATATGATCTGACCAGAACCTAACAGCTTGGCCCCACCTTGCTGTTCCTACCACTTTAAATGGAGATTGATTTGAAGGTCTTCTAGCTTATTACACAGATTCAGTGTCTCCGCTCGCCGCGTGCAACGCCCTCAGCGAGCCTCTCGAGCACAAACATCAATACAGACACACACGGTTAAATTGATCATTCACACCAGATATCAGGGTGTTTTCTGTTTCATTTCTCTGGCGTCCTCAACCACTTTCATTCCTTCGCCTCTCTCTCGCCATCTTTTATTCTTCACCGCAGGACGTTATGAGCTGCCGGCTCGCACACCTGGTAACTACGGAAACAGCTTCTCATTAAACTACTCGAGGACTGTAGCGGGAGAGACTCCCGACGGGGAACTTCATCACCATAATCAGGTGTGCATGCGCACATGCACGAACGCGTGCCTTCATTCAATAAAGAATCATACCTTCACTCACTTAACCCATCATCTCCCTCAAGTACTCACACACACACTTACAGTAACATTCCACAGCAGACTCCCAGTCCCGTATCAATCATTCACTCAACATGCTACCTCTCCCACTTACCCCCTAACACACACACACACACACACCAAGCAGTCTGCTATGCGGTCAATACAAATGAGAGTAGAATAATGTAACACAGCACAGCTGCATTTAGCCAAACAGAACAACATTTAGTGGCTAACAGAGTGCAGCTGGACTGAAAACGCTCTCACAGCCAGACTCACCTTGCCTTTCTGTCTCTCTGCAGCCCCCCACCCCACCTCCCACTGCACCGCTGCATGACATTATGACTGGAAACAATATCTCTGAACTGGAAGCGGGCACCGAAAGCGACTGGTGTCTTTGTTAACGAATTAGTCTCCTTGCTGCTCTGTCTTTCTTTATTATTGCTGCTGCTACCTTGTTTCTCTTCCCCCCCCATCTGTCCATCTCGCCTTCTTTTTTAGCAGAGCTCATGTTTTTTCATTAGGTCTGGAGTGGTGTGAGAGAAACAGAGAGAACTAAGAGAAGGACTGATTAGGTCTGTGGGGACGCTCGTGCATGAGTGTGTACGTGTGCGAGTGATAATTTAAAAGAGGGTACATGTGCTGACTTAATCAGCCAGAGCGGAAAGCATTAGATGCCACTGATCCCAGACCGGCGAGAGACAGAGAGAAAAGGGACGGCGAGGCAATTGAGACAAACATATGGCTGAGAAATGAAGATAAAAAAAGAGGGGAAGACGAGGTAAAGAGAAGGAGACACGAGCAGATGTGACGAGAGATCAAGAGTCCTACAGAGAGGTATAAAGAGGAAACGGATGAAAAGTGTTGAAGAATAGGGGGACGAGAAGAAGAGATCGATAAATGAAATGAGATTATGAGACGTGAGACATGAGTGTCTCTTCATCCAGACAATTTAGAAGAATCCACACACCGCTCAACAAGCTGCTCGCCTCGCTTTATCTCTGCAGCAGAAACGCAGTTGGGGATGCAATTTTTTCTTCTCCCCCGCAAGCACACCCCGGGGCAATTATTCTGACCGCAAATGGAAAAATACATAAGTTTGAGTCTATCATCCCTCAACGGCAAGGCTAAGACCAACATGTCAGCGTCCTACAAGCAATTACCTGCACAACAGTTTCATAACAAACGTAGCCTGGCTAATTGGCGCCCACACATTACAAGATGAGGACAACAGAGGACTGAAGCAGTCTGTGTACGAGAGCGCATTATACAATGTCAGAAGTCTCATTACAAGTGTACTTTAAAAGCTGGGTCTGTAGAGACTGAAGTGGCCGGTTCTGTGTTAGGTTAGCCAAGTATTGGTTATTCATTATGCTGAGTACTTCAGCGTCCCTTACTCATTTAGACTCACCACAAACGGCATGAAAGATTGACGTAGCCACCCTAAAGTCACCTACTTGCTTAAAAAAAAAAAAAAAAAAAAAAAAAAAAAAAAAAAAGGCCTTTTGGTTGCCATGACGTAAGTTCTGTATTGGGTTTTTTTTTTGTTTGTTTTTGAACGAGAGGCTAAAGATCTGCTTTTATCTGACACTAGAGACAAGAAACAGACTTAAGCCACTTTCACTCATCGTGCATCACTCAGAAACCATCCGTTAGTTACTAGCAGAAAATTTCACCGTCCAGTTGCCTAATATAACTATTATGAGTCCATACTTTAATCAACCTTATCATGGGCATTGATCGCTATCATTGTGTGCCTTTTGTACCATCTTCCTCCCCTCACCCCAAACTGGTCACAGCATATGGCTGTCTGGTTCTGCTGAAGGTTTCTTAATGTTAAAAGGGATTTTTTCTGGTTCCCACTTTTAACTCGTTCTTGCTCAAAGGGGGTTGTGCGATTGTCTTCCCTGGATTATTGTCGGATCTTTAGCTGTCGAGCACCTTGAGGTGTTGTGATTTGGTGCTATATAAATACAATTAAATTGAAAATTGAATTTGGATTGGTAGTTGCTTCAATCATTCACTTCAAAGTGACCTCAAAGTCTGTGATGAAATGAACTTCAAAGTTAAGAAAAGTTCATTTCATCACAAACTTTGAGGTCTCTCGTCACTGTGATGCATCTATGATTACACTCCCCAAACACTCGCACCTAGTGGCAATTTGGATTATCCAATTAACCTATCCCCACAAGCTGCATGTCTTTGGACGGTGGGA